ATTTTCAGCAGAAAATTGCTCAAACTTAGTCAGAATCATCTTGGGTAAATGAGAGTTTTACTTTGTAAAATTAGGATTCCTGCCCCATCCCCAGGGGCTAGAGCGGGGCCCCAAAGGGAACATTTACCAATATTTTCAAATTCTTATCCATTGATGACATGACAAGTATTGTATTTCACTTAGTTTACATGCTGATTTCCACATCACATCTAAACAATAAAATAAAGCTACCAGTATCTATGATATAACTCAGGTGACCGCTAAGGCCCTTGGGCCTCTTGTTTTTTAATCAATTCGTTTCAAATTTTGTACGGTAATGCTAGAAGCAAAAATGTTCAACATATATTACAGGTTTTTCTGTGGAGTTTCAACTTGCCGCGTTTTGGCATATCTGTTTACGATAACTCAAGCCAAAACATTTTTCTTACTAAAAGCACTGAGCAGGCGCCACATCCACCCTGGTGGAATTCTTGTTCTAAATAATGTGCTGCATTACAACTGTGACATGTAATTAGATTGATATTACACAGAGGCAAAGATCCTGTAAACCAGCTACCTCAATGTCTACCTACTTGGCTAGGATTAGATTGTTTGATTAGAACCCTCTCCATAAACAGCAGAGTGTGGAGTGTAGAGTTAGGACTCAACGAAACACCTGCTTCTTGTACATCTGACTAAACTAGTCTGACAAAATCCCAGTGCTTTATTTTCCTATCTAGTTCAGTTTATCTATAGCTACAGATGTCTCTTATGGTAGAGTAAAATCCCAAATACTATTTTTGTCTATATTACATGTTCAAAAGTATGATAAAGGAGATTACCTTTTGATGGCCAATATATTGATTCAGATTATATCTTACTCTTCATGTCCTGTAATTAAATGCCAATACCATTAGCAATTACAGAAGGTATGTCTCTGCCTTTACATCACTTATCTCATGTTTGTGTCAGTGACCAGAGATTGTACATCACTTATCTCATGTTTGTGTCAGTGACCAGAGATTGTACATCACTTATCACATGTTTGTGTCAGTGACCAGAGATTGTTCATCACTTAACACATGTTTGTGTCAGTGACAAGAGATTGTACATCACTTATCTCATGTTTGTGTCAGTGACCAGAGATTGTACATCACTTATCACATGTTTGTGTCAGTGATGTACAATCTCTGGTCACTGACACAAACATGACATAAGTGATGTTTGTGTCAGTGACCAGAGATTGTACATCACTTATCTCATGTTTGTGTTAGTGACCAGAGATTGTTCATCACTTATCACATGTTTGTGTGTCAGTGACCAGATATTGTACATCACTTATGTCATGTTTGTGTCAGTGACCAGAGATTGTACATCACTTATC